AAAGTGTTACCAATAATTGCTTTAAAAAAGTAAAGCCCAGTATTCTCTAATTGGCATTTTTTGTGTTTTCTAAATATGTAAATGACCAGTACCGTTACCTGAGTCCTCATTTCTCTCATCAACTGTCGGGTTAGCCGTGTCTGTGTGTTGCGCTGGCTTCAGTTAGCCTGGGAGCCAGCAGATGGTGTCCTTTCACCAGGGTCAGCGGGGAAGCTCTACTCTCCCTTAAAACCCTTCTCCAGCTCTCTCAGTAGCGGGCAGAGGCAGCAGTGTCCAGGCCGGGCCAGCTCAGCCCAGCTCCATGCACTAAGCTGTATTAAAAACCTAATTAAGTTGCGTGCCAGTAAATGGAGGGAGGTTATTGGATTTGCAGCCTTAGCTGCTGGACAGCCTTCTAATTTAATCAGACTCCCGTTGTGAGTCCAGCTTCAGAGATGACTACGGGAGTTTTCTCTCTTTTTTTTCCCCCTTCTTTGGGACAGTTTGTGGGAGTCAAACACAAACTAACACGGCCCTGAATAAGTACACGGGTCATGCACATTGGACGAATTTGAGATTTTCCCTGAGTGGCTGTAGAGCAGATAAATATGGGGGAGATTGAGAGCTATTTGACATTTGCTGATTAAGGGCGGTGTGATTGTATAATAGGTTAATGCAGCATGTCTGTCTCCAGAGGTGCAAAGGTGCTGCAGATGGCTTGTGTGTGAGGTGAGGGGATTACACAACCTGCTTTAATTGCTTCAGGATGCCTGACATTATACTGCCTGCCAGACTTTACTGAGGCCACAGAGCTGATTCTACTCATTCAACATACTGACACTCTCAGCATAAAGAGGAAACATTGGAATAGATAAGTGACATTATGTCAGGCTTATAATTTGATTCAGCTGAATTATGAAAAGTCATCCATTAGTTCATAATCATTCCATTAGTTCTTGTTTAATCCTGACAATATGTTTAATTGCTGACTACTTGAAAAATACTCCAGTATTATTAAACTCATACAATACCATTACAGCAAGTTTAATAACACTCATACTAAATTGATTGGTAATGTTTTTGATAAAAATTTATTTGATCAAAAATAAATAGTTTTTTTTTTTAATGTATTTTAAAATCAAATTTATTTCTGTGATGACAAAGCAGATGTTATTCCAGTCTTCAGTGTCAAATGATCCTTCAGAAATCATTCTAATATACTGAACTGGTCTTTAAAAAACATTTCTTTTATCAATATTGAAAACAGGTGTGCTTAATATCTTTGTGTAAACTGTGATACTTTAAGGATTCTTTGAAGAATAGAAAGTTCAAAAGAACAGCATTTATTTAAAATAGAATTCTTTTGTAACATTATAAATATCTTTACTTTCACTTTTGATCAATTTAATGCATGAACAAAAGTATTAAAGGTTTTCAAAAAATCCAACCTTTTGATCGGTAGTGTAGGTAGTAGGGATGTAACGATTCACTCAACTCACGATTCGATTCACGATTCGATTTTCTCACATTTTTTTTTTTTTAACAAAATGAGATTGAAGACATTATACAGTAAATGAGGTGTCCTTTTATTAGGCTATTGCTGCACGTTTCTTTGTGAAATTGAAATATAACAAAACTAAATTGAAATTTTAAAACAAACCCCAAATCAAATAAGCAAGTTACACAAAATAAATCTCTTCATATAAACAAACTAAGGCTTTGTCTGAGGCATCAGGGAGCTGCTATTATACCTGGCATTGAAACTGCTTTTGAATGCACGATGGCTTTTTAGTTTCACTTTCGAGATTCGCGATCGCACGTAGTCTGTTTATACTATGGAGCGGCAGTACTTACCACACATTTTACAAGATTAGATGTTTGTCAGTGGTGCACAGGATCTGCAAATCATTCGCCATCGTCCTCAGTCATTTCTCCTTACTCTGTTTATGTGGTAAGTGAAATTTTATTTACTGTAATGTAACATGCAACCGTTACACCGTGTCTACACCGGACCCGACAGTTATCATGTCGCGCCGCATCAGCTAAAGTCTGTCTACACTGGACGCGACAAAGCGACCGTTGAAAATCATTCGAAATTTGTGTCAGCACGTCATAAATAGAATGCGGCAGCAGTTTACTATCGGGGATTTGTCGTGTCGCCGCATCCAGTGTAGACAGCATCACTGATTATAATAAATTCTATCCACCTTTTTCTTGTCGTAAAAATGGGTGCGGCCATTTGTAAATTCTATGGGTCTGGCTTCCGGTCTCATCTGCATCCAGCTATTTTTAGCTGTACAAAACAGTTCGTTTTGCTGCTTGATATTGAAAATGGGGGTATCTTATCATATTATTTTAATGTATTATCTTATTTATGAACACACTGGTTTGTAGTGCAAACAGCTTTACCGTTTACTGCACGTTGGTATTCTCCTCGTTATTTACCTTGCGGTTAATGATCCGGAAGTGTCACCCATAGTCTTACTTCCACATTGAAGAAAACGGTGGATATACTGATCTATATATAATGAATCTCTATTATAGATCAGTGGTTCTATAGTATTTTGCCACGCCGCTCGCGTCCGGACACGGTGTTAGGAATCGTTATTTGTTTCCCGTGCCTTATAAGGATTCACGCAGATTCAGGCACACAACCAACGTTTGGCATCTCAACCAATTTGAATCATCACATATTTGAATCGATTTTCAACCGGCTCGCGGTTAATCGTTACATCCCTAGAGGTAACTTACAAACAGTTGTTTCATAGTCTATGAATGTGATCATTTTGTACATAATATTTATAATTATTTAATAAATGAATTATTATTATTAATAATGACATTTTTACATTTTACAATAGAACAGCATTTATTTAAAATAGAAATAAAATTGTAACATTATAAATGTCTTTACTTTCAGTTTTGATTAATTTAATGCATAAATAAAAGTATAAATGTTTTTCAAAAAACATAACCTTTTGATCGGTAGTGTAGGTAGCTTACAAACAGAGGTTTCATAGACTATGAATGTGATTATTTTGTACATAGTATTAATAATTATTTAATAAATGAAGTAAAAATTAAGTATTATTATTATTACTGCTGTTGCTATTATGATGATTGTACTAAGTTAACAATTAATAATATTAATTTTTCATTTTTAAAATGGATTTTAATCATTTACTTTTGTGATGAGAGGGCTGTAAATCCATGTATTTTGATCTATAATCTCCCTGTATTTTTTTTCCAGAATTCATTAGCAGAGACATAGGTGTCAGTCACATACAGTACAGCATACAACTCATTTCATATACAGTAACTCATAAGTCATACCGTATGTCTGCACACAGTTTATACATATTTACTTTGAGTGATTAGAGTCGGTATTTCTGCATATTAATGATTGGTTTTTACTAATATTGAATCAGTCTCAAACAATAAAACTCATGTATTTCGAGAAGAAAAATAAACCCTGTGTCAAAAAAGCAGATGGCACCAAATGATGGGCAAGTTCTTGCAGCTCTCACTTCTGAAGTTTCTCTTATTCTTCTATTTCTTATTTATTTCTCGTTTTGGTAAACAACAGCAGATGAATGGTACTTTCTGAAAGACCTGAAGAACAGCAGAAATGGTAGATAAAGGTTTGGATGGGTGCACTAATACAGAAGAACATTTGGAGCTAAGTAATGTGTGGAGGAGGTTAGGGCCAGTGTCAAAGCGCTGCCAGACTCTGGAGGTGGGCGGCAGCAGTGGCGCCAGCTCCCTACACAGCATGGGACAGGATGCCCACCACAGCCCTGTGATCAGCCCTGTCCAGCTCACACCAGGAAGGCCAGCAGAGAAATGAAAAGAAAGAAAGAGGGCGAGGGAGACAAAAGAACAACGGTGCTTGACTGAGGCCTTAGGACAGGAACAAGCTGTCTAGCGCAGGCAGACAAACTATTCTCCTCACACTCCCAAATAAGACGGGATTTAAGGAATCAGAGGTGAATGACGATTATCGTGACATGCAGAAACACATCTACTGTCACACCAGACAGAGAGAAAAGAAAGGCTTGAAAATGGCTCTGGCTCCAGTCAACAGGAGAAGCAGGAGGCCCGTTTTCAACTCATGCATTCATTCCTATTAGAATCCTGTACAGAAGTGCATTGACTTTCTGAAAAATTATCATTTTTTTAATGTTGCTTACCCTATTTTCAACATATTTAGACAGATACTAAATTTGATGTATTTTTATATTAAAATAACATTAGTGAGGGTAGCACCATATTTAATTTCCATCACTAATGAAAATGTGGATTGTTCTGTTGTTTAACAACTTACTTATTCTTCAGCTGACAAAAAATCTTTCCAAAAGACTTTCAATTGACACTATAACTCAATAAAAAAAAATGGAAAGTTATGAGTTGTGAAAACGGCGCAATCTTGGACTTTTATAAAGGGCATGTCATTGTAAAGACTTATCAGAACATTACTGTTTGAAAGCTTGACACAGAAACGAACACTACTAGTGATTCGAACAACGGTTTGAGTGTGGGGCGGGACTATCTGTTTCTCCAGCCAATGGCAGATGGGGGCAAAGTCTACTTTTATGGTCTTTTAAGAAGATTAATAGCTCCAGTACCTATTTACTTTCTATGAATAAAAAAGAAGCCTCAACAATGTTTTATGCTTTAAAAAAAGCTCATGTTTTAATTTATATAATGACAAAATTTACTGTAAATAATGGCAGAATTTAAATTTTTGGGTGCACTGTCCCTTTAAGATAATGATAATCTGTTAAATTTTCACTTTGTGAAAATGAGCTCTTAACACACGAAATTTTGACAGATTTTCTGAAGTCTGAGCAATTCTGTCATTTCAACAAACATCCCAAAATTCAGAACATGCTGCTGAAAAACAAAGGCCAAGAGAGCATTTATGAAACTCAGTCAAACCTCAGTCTGGTACAGTGATAACTCAGATGGAAACTTCTTTCAGCTGTGCCTTTTATCTGTGTGTGTGTGTGTGTGTGTGTTAGACTGCAGCAGCTGGACCAGCACTGTCAGGCCAGTTCCCAGCAAGTGCTGCAGCTCCTCAGCCGACAGAAGCAGCTCATGCAGGAGCGCCAGCAGCTCGCTCACGACATGCACAACCTGCAAGCCCAGGTCAGTCTCTGTTACACACTGTACTCAGAACTCAGCTTGCTCTTTAACTTCAAACCTGAAACATGAAAGTTTAAAGTGCTTTACCTACTTCAAGGATGGAAGTTTTAACATTTCTCATTACTGTAATGCAAAAAAAATATTTTCTTTTACTCAAAAATAAATCATTATTAATATATTTTAATTAATGTTTATTATATGCCTGAGCCGGCCCGTACATTTCTGACATGCTGAGCTCATGTGACGGATGCAGGATAAAATCTATTCCGTTTTATGACTTGAACATCCACTTTCGGTTCTAAAGCTGCGAAAACTGCGCAAAACACAGCATGAAAGCTTAAATATAGTTTGAAAGCAATAAAAATAGTTTACAACCATTAAAGAATTGAGAAAAGAAAAAAATGTATATAATGTATACATATATATATATATATATATATATATATATATCAACAATTCTGTGTTTTTCTGTCAATATGGGGTGCTGTGTGTACATTAATGAGGAAAAAAAATTAACTTAAATGATTTTAGCAAATGGCTGCAATATAACAAAGAGTGAAAAATTTAAGGGGGTCTGAATACTTTCCGTACCCACTGTATATATATATAGGCACCTCTTGATCCAATCCGATTCCAATTCTGGGAATCGCAATCCAATTCAAAGATTCCAAAAAAAGATTCTTGATCTACCATTTATTTATTTATTATTAATTCAGGAGTTAACTCACTTTGAATATCAAATTTATTTTAAAATTACTTGCATGTTCATAAATTATTTTATAACATAATTATAAATGATTTATAAATCACAACAATTGTATGTCAAGAATTATAGCTTCAAAACATAAAGCAAAAACAAAGCTCAGAATCATTGAAGAGAGAATTGTAATGCATCTTTTTTTTTTCTCTCTGATCCCTTATACAGTGGGTACGGAAAGTATTCAGACCCCCTTAAATTTTTCACTCTTTGTTATATTGCAGCCATTTGCTAAAATCATTTAAGTTAATTTTTTTTCGAGTGATGACAGTCTAATCATAATCACCATTTAGAATAATGATAAAGTAAAATATTTGGGTGCATTGTTGTAATAAGACTTTTGGGGTAAAATGAGCTTAAATTGTCATTTAAAAAATGCCTAAAAGATATAGTGATGATAAAATAGGTTCTATTTTATTTATGCTTAATATAATTACTTCTGAATCTTTAGATTTTGTAGTAGAATGTGACCTGCATCCATAGAGAGAGAGGGAGTCGAGCACACAAGCAGCACAGCAGCTGGGTAGCCATGGCTGCACATCACGCTAGACTAGGCACCCACAGATGCTCATCCAGATTGCTGCTAGAGGCACGTCAGCAACAGACAGCGAATCGCCGAATGCTGACATTCGTTGGAGATTATTGCAAATGGAGTGATGCTCCGCAAAGCGCCGCCGCTTTCGGCTCTGTTAATACTACCATGCTGTTGTTTTGTTATTAGAGCGAGTTAGTAATTCAGACTCTCCCTCTGAGCATTTGTGTAAGAACACCCACATGCTGACCGCTCAGACCGCGTCCTGCTCGCGCTCACAGCTCATTATACCAGGCCAATTAGGAATTATGCTAGGCTGTTTGAAATAAATGAAAGCGTTGTTTGAGACAGAAGACAGAAGTGTGGTTCATTCCTCTTCTTCTGTTGAGATGATTAGTTTGCAGTACTTGTCAACATGGTGGTGCTGGGTTTCTTTTTGAGGCTCTATTATGGTTGTCCTGTGTATGTCACCTTCTCCTCAGGTGCGTGGTGAGAAGAGAATGGACACGCTGGCCGTGTGAGGGCCGTCTCCATGAGGTCATGTGATCAGTCATAAAGTGAGAACCGATCACTGTGATATTCCATATAACCACACAATGAAATGCAGTGAGAGGAGTCAAAAATCAAAGTTTAATTATTTTAAATAAATAGTAAATAAAAAGCATATGAGGAAATGTGGCTTCATAACTGGGCATGACTGAATGGCTGTGAATGAAAATTCCTTTATGTCTTGTGTTTAAGTTATATATCTTTTTGTATTTATTTTATCAAAGATACCAATTAAAAAAATAAAACTCTCTCTATATATCCCTGTCATATAAAACACAAAAAATTAAATGAGTAAATTATATAAAATATTAAATAAGAATTATATACATATGTATGTGTGTATATATATATATATATACATTAAATTATAATAAAACAATAATTATATACACTTCATTAAATCTGTCCTGTCATTAAAAAAGGGGAAAAGGTGTATATATATTTTTTGTATGACGGGGACAGATTTAATGAAGTGTATTTTTACTTTCTGTAAACTGTGCTTAAAAGCTATAAATGATTTCCTAAGGTCTGAATGTTGATTTTCTATATAGGTTGTAAATCCATCAGCAGGTTCAGAGGTGTTATGATGAATCATGAATGTTTTGTCTGGTGCAAATAAGTCAGAGACACAACTCAAGCCAAAGCAGATTGACATAGTGCTTTATTTAAGCAGTCTGTAAGAAGGAAAATAATGTGCATCCCTATCATATACATTTACGTGTAAAAATACTAGGATGTACAGTGTACAAAAACAGTTTCTTGCAGATAAGCTTTCCGGATCCGCGGGGGCCCCTATACTGTATTCAAGGAAATAAACTTTGTTTTTGTTGTTGTTTTTTAATGTGATGAATGGTAATACAGTTCTTTATTTTTATTTTTTCTGTTAATCCCTTCCATGTAAAATTCTTAACCACATGACTAGTTCTTAACATGGATCTAATGACAGAGCTAGCAAGGTCAAGAAATGTCACAAACTCTAAAGCTACATGGACATAAAACGTTTTTTTTTTGTTTCTTTGTTTCTTCTTTTTTTTAAAGATTTGTCTTTTTTTTTTTTTTTTAAATAAATACTTTACAATTCATGCTCATTCATAATACACTACCAGGAGCGCGATATAGAGAAAGTCTGTTGTAGACCGTACAAACAGTAGCAGCAGTGTGCACACAGATGTGCGTGTAGGAGGGATGGAGCCCGTGCCGCCCATGTCTCCATGGGTCCCTTCCTCACACTAGTTCAGTATTCAGGGAATAATGACTTTAGGTTGGGCTTATGTGTGTTTTTATTGTCCTCTGAAACTCTGAAGTGGTGACAACAGTACAGCTCGACTTTTCTACAACACTAGAGCATTAGGGAATCTTGGGAAATGTTAGTCTGTCTGTGTCACCAGGCAAAACTTGTGTCTCCTGGCAGCATTTCAGGTCTATCTGCATCCACACCGTTACATATTACAGAGCACAATCACTCAGGAAAGTAAAGTAGCATCAGGTCCATGAGGGGCGAATCTGTGCTTTCAAGTATTTTTTTTCCCTCGCGTTTTATTTTCCTTTATTCTGTTTTTTTATTTTTTCCCCCAAAGCAGGGACCCTTTTTTTTCTTATGCTGAGCTATATAAAAAGAGCAATGGGTATGAAAGTGCTACTACAGGCAGATACAAAGCCAAGTGTTAAAATATGGAGTTACAAAAGTGTATGATTGATTTGGCCAAAGCCCCTTTTGCTGTTTAAATAAACTATCATCACATGCAAGGTACCGCCCCAATGAACATCACCGTTCTCTGCCTCTCCACGTCTTGAGGAAAACCTTTTGGTCCCTCGCAAGTGCATATTAAAGTTAATGAAATGGATGAACAGCATCACAGTATGATTGAATAATCCTACTAAGTACAATCCGTACAATCACAAATCTGAAGTGAAAAAGCAAAGGTGCAAAAAAAATACAAAATGAGTGCTTCCATCTCCCTAGTCAATATAAATTGAACTTGTAAATGTTACCTAACCAGAAAATGTAAAATAAGACAAATAGTTGAAAAATATTCAAGTTATTCGCTGATAAATAAAAAAGTAATAAAACAAACAGAATCAAACACCAAAAAAACTAAACGGTCAGCAGTGTAAGCCCATTAAATTAAATCAGATAGTTCTTTAACTTTTTGTCTCGAAAACAATAAATAAATAAAACAAGAAAAAGGAATTGGGAAAAAGACGAGGAATGATCTAAAGGAAAACGTGCAAGTTGGAAGACAGAGAATGACACAAACAGCGGATCTTCCCGCAGTACCACCGCTGTGCTGTCAGAAAACATTATTGGGTTGGACATCACAGTTTGAACGCAAGAACATCCTCAAGCTCGACTGAAATCAAATCTGGCAATAGAGCAACAGTACCATGCTACAGCATCTCACATTACACCATTGGACAATTCACAATGCTCACAATCAACGCAGGCATTTTGGCGGAGAGCTCAGTTTGGCATGAGGGAGGTGGACAGAAACTTTCTGAATCATCCTTAACCAGCCGTCATCAAATCCCTGTCAGTCTTTAACAAACATGCAAGAGATCCCAGTTCAGACGTCCCACTCTTAACAGACCTTGTTCTACGTCACATTTCATATACACACCATCCAGACTCACTCCTTCCTCATGTATCACTTCCCTCTTCACTAATGTCCCATATTCTCACCCCAGCCTCATACCTCGGGGCTGCACTCGGCCACATTTCTTCAAAAAGTGCCAAGGCAAATACAAATGAAAGATTTTGCCGTTCCTGCTCAAATTAAACGGACACGCTGAACGCAACAACAACATGCACAAGAGCCATCTTTACACTCAGAAAACAAACACCAGACACACAGCAGGGTTTATTGCCAAACACTATCAGGAAATGTACTGCATATGTCAAATTATTACTCTTTTGATCCCATTTAAAAAACACTGTCCATTTCAACTCGCCAGGTTTTCTCAACTATCTCATCAAGCTTCGTCCAGGTAAATCCTCAGTCTGTAACCACCAGAAACATTTTTTGCTCATAATTCATATAGACATCCTAGTATTTCAATGTTTATCGAAGGATTTTTACGCTAATATCTGATTGGCGTATTTTAGGAAGGAAAGTGAACATGATATTAGATGTAGCGAAGCACAATAGCACTCAAAAGTGTTTGAAAATAGCATTCGACTTATCAATATCTACGTTTAAGCAAAATGATTGGTTAATGTTCACATCCTGCCTCGAAACAACAATGAGAATGTGCCGTGTCTTATTTAAATGCTCATTAAAAGGTCAAGCAAATCACAATGGGGTGCGTGTCCTGCTCTGTTACAAACTTTAACGTACAGTGACTCATCTGAATGAATCAGTATGGTCTTTTACAGCCCTTTCATTGGTGGAAGGACAAACAACACATTTCAACATCACTCAGACTGCTCACAATGTTGAGGAAAATAGTCAAATTCCTTTGGGGAAGGAAAAAAAGAGAACAACACTACAGTGGCGTAAAAAGAAAACAGTTCAGGGAAAATAAAATAAAAACAAATGAAGGCCTTTGCAGTGACCCATCTACATTCGTAAGCCTTTTTAGGTGCATTTATTTCATTCAAAAAACGAGACTCAGAAAGCACTCTTAATAAACGCAAGGACAAAAAGAAAAAAATAAATTAAATTCGCTTAAATACATTTTCTCTCACACATTTTTTTTCTTATAAAATAAAAAAGTGCTTCCTGTCATTCTTTCAATTAATGCTGGCTTTTTTGTTGTTGTTATTGTTACACTATGATTGCACTATTGAGCGTTGAGTGGAAAGGCTTTCTCACAACTGTTCAAAAACAGTTTGGGCTTTGGGGGAATTTAATCTGATCATCAACTGTGCATCACAGTTGTGTATCGCTGCATAAAACACTCCACATCAGTCAAACGTGCCATTTTTCCCAGGGAATGATATGTAAGAAATAAAACCTTCGGTGAATACATTTGAGTGAGCATTTCTAACGGGCAGTTTTAGTGAGAGTTTAGCGCTGCATAGCTCGGGTTCACAGGGCTTTGTACGGAGGAATACTGAGTTGTGGATCGATGAGGGGTAAAGCTAGTCCTGAACACAGACGTCCTCTGTGAAGCCTTAGTAAACCGTTTATGGCAGTTTTGACAGAAGGTGAACCTTAAAAACAGTAACAACAGAAGCAGCGTAGACTGGAGCGGTTTTGAGTAGTTATACTACGTGTACCCGGAATCGCAAAACCCATGTGAATCTCTAGCCATGCAGTTATATGTATTTATCTGAACTAATAGATGTGTCCTTGATACTAGTTCCCACTGAATAAGGAATGTGGAGAAACATCTCAAATCAAAGAGAGAAACACAATGAAGACAAACAGCAAAAGTTCTCCCATCATGACCCAACCTTTGGGCTGGAGCTGTGAGGACGTTTGAGCGGGCTGGACCTCGATCCGACCCGACGTGCAAATTCCCATCACCCTAAATCAGAAGTTTCCCTTGGTCTAGCTAAACAAATGAAAGAACCAAGATGGGCGATGAAGGGTCAAATGGGCCGTTGTCTGTTAGAAGCTGAAGACCTAATTTGTTCCAGTGGTAACCTTGATGAGGATGAGGCAGTGTCAGCTGCGTGGCGCTCACTCTCTCCCGCTGGCGGAGTAGGAGAACTGGGGGAAGTGTGGCCGTCGCTCGTTGTCCATGCAATCCATCCCATCTTCATCGACTGAGGAGAGGAGCACAGGAGCAATCGGTCAGGAGCAGCTAGACTGACATTACGAGTCAGTTTCAACCAGGCTCATGCAAATAAAATGTTTTCTGCAGTTAGCCGTGAAGAAAACTTTATCTGAGCCACTTGTGCACTTCCCATCAGGTCACAAAAAAGCCTGCAATATGCCAAAAAACTGGCACCCACACACTTACAGGAAACAAGCTGTTGAATATGGAGTCTGTGGAAGACTTAACAGTTTGTAGGCGAAAAACAAGGTTGTTACTTTTATTAAAAGGGTTATGAAGACAAGATTTAATTGGTCCCACACATCCTAAATATCGACAAGACCTTCTATAAGCTTTGGCATTGATATCGAAAATATTACTGCCTTGTTTCACCTCACACTCACCAAACTGGTTTCATTTAGCATTCAGATATTTTACATTAGCATATCATTTAATAAATGTGTGCACAGTCAAGGTCGCTGATGGAAAAAGACGTTTACCTCTATTACAATGACAAAAAAATTAAAAAAAACATGCTCTTCTGACCAAAAGAGATTTCTAAAAATGACAGGGCTCAGATGGAAAGGCTTATAAGGATTTTTTTTTTTTTTTAAGATTTTAGTCTTTGGTCCACAGTAATGTAGTGTACAAGTCTGAGAAATTAAACACTGTTGCTAATCTTCTAGGTAGGGACTGAAAAAAGCTCATGTAACAAATATGTAGAAATGTATTTATTATTCATGTTGGTTTTATATGGCTTTGTTCATCAAAAGTTCATGTATAATTAGATAAAAGGTCAAGTATGTACTACCGTTAATACATCTGGGGTCGGTAAGATTATTTATGTTATCTGAAAGTCTCTTAAGCTCTTAAGGCTGCATTTATTTGATTACAAATACAGGAAAATTAGTAATAATGTGAAATATTACAATTTAAAATAACTGTTTTCTACTTTATTGTATGTTAAAATGTAATTTATTCCTGTGATGCAAAGCTGAATTTTCAGCATCATAACTATAGTCTTTAGTGTCACATGATTCTTCAGAAATCATAATATGCTGATTTTCTGCTCAAGGAAAATTCCTTATTATTATTAAAGGGGTCATATGATGCGATTTCAACTTTTCCTTTCTCTTTGGAGTGTTACAAGCTCTTGGTGCATAAAGAAGATCTGTAAAGTTGCAAAGACTAAAGTCTCAAATCCAAAGAGATATTCAAACAAAGAAAAGTTAAGAGTCAACCACGCCTACCTAAAACGGCTCGTTCTAACACGCCCCCACATACCTACCGGCCTCCGCTCACTCAAGCCGGCCTCTGCTCACTCAAGCCCTCCGGCCGTTCCTCACTCTAGGCCGCCGCCGCTCATTCAAGCCCGCCCACCTCCGCTCACTCAAGCCCGCCGTGTGTGGCGCTGTGTTTTGTTGTGAAAGCGAAACTACTTTGTTTGGCCTTCCAAAAGAGGACACGGCTAGAAATCAGTGTTTAAGAGCTGATCCGTGCTGGTCGCTGAGGAAATACATCAACTGCACGCTGTGGATCGCCGGATCGGCTTTCACCATGGACAAAGCGGAGTCCAGCCCGCTTCCAAAAGAGGACACGACTAGAAATCAGTGGTTAAGTTGTATTTACAACCCTGTGCCAGAACAGTTCAACCCAAATATTCAGATGTGTGCAGCACATTTTATGGAGCACTGTTTCCTGATCCTGGTAGAGTAGACTACAATGCCGGCTGTTCTAACTCACAGACTGTAAATACGTTTTTTATATTTAAAGGATTTGCCACTGATGATTTAAACTGAGTTTTGGGCAGTGTAGAGTAGAGCTTGTTGTTTGTCATTTCTCCGATCACAAATGCAGACATGGTTTTATGTTTACGCGGCGCGATGCAACGCAACGCGTAAAAAGACAGTATAAGTCATTATAATCCATAATTATGTCCCCACTGGATGCAACAAATGCCTCATTTGTAATGGGTTTGAATGTTTTTGTCTCGTCGCTCCGGCCGGACACAGCATCACAGTATGGTAAGGGGCGTAACATTTCCGTCTCACGCTTGAGGTATTCGGCCAATCACAACGCACTGGATAGCTGGCCAATCACAGCACACCTCACTTTTTCAGACCGATGAGCTTTGTAAAAATCGACGCGTTTCAGAAAGGCGGGGCATAGAGGAGAAACAATAATGTACAGTATGTGGAAAATAATGTTTTTCTAACCTTAAACCACATAAACACATCAGCATCATATGACCCCTTTAAAAATGATTTTGGTTACTATGAAAATGCTTTCTGCTACTTGTATAAGAGTGCAGTAACTCTGTTTGAAACATTTTAACATCCTAAAATATATATTAGTCATAGTGCTGTCAAACGATTAATTGTGATTAATCGCATCCAAAATAAAGGTTTTTGTTTTTATATATACATAATAAATCAACAGTACACATACATATATTATACAAACAAAAACCTTTATTTTGGATGCGATGTATTTATGTGAGATGAAAATCAGATGACACTTCAAGAATAATTCATGGACATAACCAGGCAACTTCTTCACAAACCTTAATAATTGTGTGTGAACAAAAAAGTATCATCTATAGTTTTCAGGTGATTGAGATTTGTGCCAAAAAATGATCTAGTACACAGCATATGCCTTATGACTGAGAACATAATTAAGTCAGCACAACATCATGCATGTTTTCTTGAATATACTTTTGTGTCATTACAGAACTGTCAATGTATGCAGAGATAAACAACAGACAAACTCACATTTTTCAGGAGGGGTTATTGTAATTGTCTGAGCTGTGAACTCTTCATCGAAATATCTGGTATCTGTCTCTGACGACACCTGAGGCTTGAAGGGAGGTATCAGCTGAGGAAGGAAGAGAGGGGGATGAAAAAAACACAGAACACCTGTTTGTGCAGATCTGACACTGCATATAATACGGCGAACTGGAGGGCTCAATCTAACGCCTCTGAACCGCACCTCCTCTGCCAACCATTGTGCTATTTGTGTTCAAGTGACAGTGACCTATTAATGCATCGAGTCACACATAACCTCTGTCTTAACATGCACCATTAAAAGCATTTTGGTTGTCTGCACTTTTAATTAAAATTTTAATTAAAGCTTTTTTTCCTCAGTAAAAAATGATGCCTGACTTTTCTACAATGGCATCAATGACTAATAAACTTTGGCTTTTCCATGATGTTGCATCCACATATAAAGAGGTCGAAATAAAGTTAAATGCCACTTTTATTATCTATGAAAGCTTGTTTCTGACCTGGAAAATCAAATGATGACATATAAAGATGAAGTTGTGAAACATCAAGTCACAGTTACAAGAAACTCGTAATTACAAGAAAAAAAGTCATAGTTTTTAAAGACATTCTGTTTTAACTGATGTAGAGATGGACTTTAATATCAAGGGGTGCGTTTCTCAAAAGCATTGTAAGCTAAGTTGATGGTAGAGACCTTTGGTGGCAATGGATCTACAATCTACTTAGGCTTATGATGCTTTTGGGAAACAGCCCAGGTCAACATAAAAAAAAATTTAAGTGGATCTTCATATGTAGTGGTCAAGGCAGGACAGCATAAATTCTGAGTTACCTTTTTATCATAGACATCCTGCCAGTCAATTCCAGCAAAGAAACTATGTCGCATAATTTCTTTAGCATCATCCGGACCTCCACCAAGTCTGACAGGAAAACAACAGGAAGCGACATGTATTTAGTCACAAGACAACTTATGATCTTCCAGCAGTTAGTTCCGGTCTAAATAAGTGCTGTAACAGAAGTGACAAAGAAAGACCAGTTGAATTGTGTAAAGAACATAGACCATACAGATCAATATTGTCAGTGTTGGGAAGGTTACTTTGGAAATGTAATAGGTTACAGATTACAAGTTACCCTACTTAAAATGTAATAAGTAGTGTGACTTTTCAATTACTTTATAAAAGTAATGTAACTGATTACATTTGATTACTTTTCTAAATTTCTATTTTTTTTAACTGTTTATCATTTTCAAACATGTAAACCAGGCAGGGTAAACCTTACAGTAGTACTCAACACTGATTACTGTCACACTTTTGAAATCCTTCATCACTTGAATTAAGATTATATTTCCATTTTAAAGTAGGCATTGGATGCAAAATTCACTTTTACATGGTGTTTGCATATAAATGTATCTTAGCAGTGTGTACACAACCACCCTACAATGATAAAAATCCATTCACTCCTTTTTTTAACCCCCCAAAATCCTAAATAGTCTCAATTATCAAGCCGTTTTGATTTTCTGAGCAGTATGATGTCATATTGTTCAGGCCCCGCCCACAACCGCTGATGTACTGTCCAATATTAGCATGTTTTCGCCCTCAGCCAGTTGTACGAAGTACATAGCAGATGTAACCCCCTTTGTAATCCTTAACATTTTCATAAGTAACTGTAATTTAATTACATGTCTTTTCTCAGTAACTGTAACCGATTACAATTACTTTTATTTTGTAATTAAATTACATAATTCCGTTACATGTAACTAGTTACTCCCCAACACTGAATATTGTTATGACTGACCTCTTATTGGGATCTTTGATGAGCAGGCCTGACAGTAGGGACTTGGCGTCAGCAGAGAGCGTCCTGGGGAACTTGATGTCCTCCATTAGGATGAGCTCAAAGAGCTTCTCATGGTCCTGATTGTAGAAAGGCAGTCGGCCACACATCATCTCATACATGACCACACCGAGACCCCACCAGTCCACCGCACGGCCGTAATCATTGTCCTCCAGCACCTGAGAACAAACACACGCATACAAACATCCCTGCATGAAAGCATTCATGATCAACCCAAGAAATCAAAACATGTACAAGCACAGGGAAACTTTGTACAGAAATATATATATCTTAAATGTTAAATATGTTCGTGTTAACCTGTTTTAACATTTAATTATTATTGCATAAACACTCAAAAATATGGATGTCTCAGCACCAGTGTTGTGCAAGATTTAGAATTGAAGAACTGGCACAATTTCAGCTCACAAATGTGAATTTGAATTGAACTGGACACACCCCACAGGAAGCTGAATTAGAATTTTGATGACAGAAAGGTATTTAATGACTTGCAATTTTACTACATTTAACACAGGTAATTCTAAAATATATCCATCCAACAATCTATCCATTCATCCATGCATCTAACCTTCCATCCATCCATCCAACTGTCTATCCATTCATAAGGCCTATAAACCTTCAAAAAGCTTTCTCCCCAAAACTTCAAACAAAGTCTGTCTTGACAAATGCCTCTTTTCTAGTTAAAATTACAGTCAGACAAGTTACTTAAATTAAATTTCAATAAGTAAATAAAATGAAACCTGTTTGCTACCTCACTACAAATTCAGGAATTGAATTGTAATTTAAAAGGCGATCTCAATTCAATTCCGAATGATGCACAATCCTATGAAGAGCTTGGCAAATGTATTTCAGAATAAGTTGCTCATGTGTAACATAACACTAAATCAATTTCATCTCCATAAGAGTCATCACAGCTAAGAGTTCCTAAATGAATGGCAGTCAGGAACATCAGTGCTAATATATGAATATCAGTGGCTGATAATGGCAGCACTTCACACACTCTTATTGTAGTGCTTCTCATCAGCAAACCCATGTCAGCGTGAGCCAGCTCCGTCTCTTCGCCCCATCAGTGCTAGACTGATAAAAGCATCTAAACATTCATTCTGCACCGGCGCATCAGGTCAAAGATCCAGCACAGGATACAGTCGGAATCTGGAAGCACAATCCTAAAAGCCTGATATCGTTGGATCAAAGCTATGCTTTTGGGCAAGCGTCCCAGGCCCCAATTACCGAGGATGCTCATACACACCTTACCGGTAGCTCTTATGAGTCTATGTGGCGGCTAGAGTTAGCGTGCAATGTAGAGGAGCTCTTCAGAGCAGAGAGTCGTGATTAATACGTCTGACTAATGACAAGGCTGGTTGGCACAGAGCCAGTTAAGCATATGCTCAGAGTGGTGTTATAACAATGTCTCCTCTCTGATCTTTAAAAACAGGCAGACCTGCACAAGTCAACAGCAGCATTCATTACTCTGTCTGATTAGGGAGCACAATGTGAACGTCCATGTGTGAACGCAGGGCTAACAACCTCCAGTGAGATGGGTGTATATGACTACTCCACTTATAAATGTCAGAGCAAATCTTCTGAATGGTACATTGTGTGCTTTGAACAACACTTAACATTCAAAAGTTTGAGATCTATAAGATTTTTTTTTTTTAGAAATTTAGAAATTTAGATTTTTACTCAGCAAGGACACATTAAATTAACAATAAGAGACTGTATAAGGACATTTATAATGTTAAAAAATATATCTATTTCAATAAATGCTGTTTTTAACTTTCTATTTATCAAAGAATCACAGTTTCCATAAAAATCTAACAAAAATCATCAACATTGATCATTATAAAAAAATAAAATAAAATAAAAAAGTACCAAATCAGCATATTAGAATGATTTCTGAAGGATCATGTGACACTGAAGACTGAAGTAATGGCTGCTGAAAATTCAGCTTTGCATCACAGGAATACATTACATTTTAAAATATATTCAAATAGAAAAAAATCCTTTTAAATTTTAATATTATTTCACAATATTACTGTTTGGTTACAGTTTAGTACAGGGGACCAATTCTCACTATTAACTAGTTGCTTATTAGCATGCCTATTATTAACATTTGCTTTTTATTAGTACTTATAAAGCACTTATTATGCATGACCATATTCTACCCAATACCTAAACTTAACAACTACCTTACTAACTATTACTAAGAAGCAAATTAGGAGTTTGTTGAGGCGAAAGTCATAGTTAATGGTTTGTTAATAGCGAAAATTGGACCTTAAAATAAAGTGTGACCTACCTAATAAATGCAGCCTTGATGAGCTTAAAATACTTCTTTTAAAAACATTAACTTATCAGCACCAAACTTTTAAACGGTTGGTGTGTTATTTGACAGAATAAATGAATGTCATATCAAATGTGCTGAACGGTAGCCTACTTTTGGTATTGTTGATTTGAACTATATTACTTATTATTTATTGTAATTATAACTAATAATTAATTGCATTATTTACTGAACATGGTTATCTTTTACCATATTTCCATTGCAGCTATTACATATAGTGAAGTTCAAATGCATTAAGTGTCATCCAAAACAAATCGCTAAACACTATTTTTTCTTAAAAAGAAACTGAATGGATCCTTTATCATTTCCAGTGCAGAAGTTAATGTGCGTTACAGTGATTTTACCACCGCTAAATAATAAGAGAGTGAAAGTGTGTTCAAATTACATGGACAGAATGTGTGTTTTTGCACGTCTAAGTCCAGGACTGGACAGGACCGTGTGTTCTGGAAGCAAACAGGAGCGTAAGCGAGGACGAGGACACCGTTCATGTGTGTGCGTGGCATGTATGGGCGGATTGTGCTGTTTGTCCTGGGAGTGTATGTGAGCAGCTCGGCTGCAGGCAGGGATGCGATTAATGCACACAGAGCCAGTTGGGGTCTCCCTGTTCCAGAGCCACAGGCGAGGAGGAGCGGCCGCAGGGGAGGAACAGGCCCCTGCTCGGACAGCCATGTGGCAGGGCTGCTGCTCCCAGGACTGGGCCCTTGGCAAGGCTGGCCTGGGAGGGATGGGACAGAGTGCCTGTGGCTCCACCAGCCCAGTTCCCCAGCAGGGCAGTGGAACAGACAGCCTCCATGAGCTTATCCCACTTTGGCCGGGCTACACGAGGACGCTTGTGCACATGCACATAAATAGGGGTGTGCAAAGTGCATACAAATATATGCGTGCATACTGTAAACACGCACGGATCGCCATATGCACGCTTACCTGCTGCTAAGCACCTGTACGCATCCTTCAAGAAGATGAACGCTAGCCACACCTGCATGCTGACAAACGCATGTCCTGTAGGCTCATTTACAAAAAGCTAATGTGCTCTGAATCACACCTGGAAGCTAGCGATAATGTGTTTTATTGGTAGCAAACATGCTGTAGAAATGCTGCAATTACAAAATGCTAAAGATGTGGCAGATGAGAACTCAATGACAGATGACATACAGCTTGTGAAAGCGAACTGTTATTAGAGAAGTATTTCTGTAAATGTATCTTCATTCATTCTCATTAGCACTTAAAACATTTGGTGAGGGCCAAATTTAAGCGAAACTATTCCAATTTCACTTCTGTAACCCTAAAAGTAATTTTTTTCCCTCTAAATATCTTTCACACTCTCTCTCTCTCTTTCTTCTATTTCTCTCTCTCTCTAATCCCCCCCTACTTTGCATCTCCAGGACTTGGCTCAGGCTGTGCTCTGTTATTTTTACACCAGTACGGCAGTATAGATTTCCAGGTTTCCCAGCCACCTTCTTCCAACCTTCCCCATCTGCCACCATCTGCCTCTGTTTAGCATGTACTTTTTTGTGCAATCACATACTCTTGTGAAAAATAACCAACACTCAAATCATCTCCTGGCACAGCGGCCAGGCTGAGCAAAACAAAATGTTGCGCCAAATTGTCTTCCGTACTTTTTCGAGTGGAATCTATATCCCCCCTTCACTCCCGCTGCCGCCCCCTGCCTGCTCCCCCCTCCTGTCTATAAATATGGATTTAGTCACTGCAATCTGGGCACCATGCACACCTCTGGTTGGACAGAAGGTTGAACAGCAAACTACTGTTCAAAGAAAATAAAAGTGATAATTACTTTTGCTATTTAAAAGACATGATCTGTGCTCTGGTTTAACAGGCTGCATTTATATTACTGATATAAATATCTAACATTTACAACACTTTCTATGAAGCCTATACATATAATGGATAACAATGGTATTAATATATTCATATAGGATTAATTCAATACACTGCCATTCAAACATTTGGGGTCACAAGGAGGAAAGAAATTAATACATTTATTCAGCAAGGATGCATTAAATTGATCAAAACTGACAGTAATATTTATAATGTTAAAAAAGATTATATATTCTATTGTAATATATATATATAGAGAGAGAGAGAGAGAGAGAGATTAGAAAAGAAAATTTTATCTATTTTAATATTTCCACAAAAATAGTTAAGCAATAGGAAACCATGATACATTTTTTATATCATGATACATACATACACACACATACACACACACATATATATATTTATATATACAGTCGTTGTCAGAATTATTGGCACCCTTGGTAAATATGATCAAAGAAGGCTGTGAAAATAAATCTGCATTGTTAATCATTTTGATCTTTTATTTAAAAAATTCACATAAATCTAACCTTTCATTGGAGAATAAGAATTTAAAATGGGGGGAAATATCATTATGACA